ACATTTTACACTTTGAAGGTGCAAAACGAATACCGGGCATAGCTTTACTGACATTCAAGCTGTCCCGAAAAGCTTGCAACTTACCTGGGTATTCACTTGGCATCACAATGTCGTCTACATACTCTAGATCAAACAGTCTGCTATCTGGGAGTAAGTCGATGTCACTCCTTGTACGAGAACGGGGCTGTTACCAAAATGAAATCTATAACAAAGTTAAAAAGAAAAGGGGAGAGAAAGAGAACAACCCTGTAGCTGCCCAAATAGTGAAACTTATCCACCTGCTCTACTACTGCCCCAGTTAGAATGAGGCTGGGTGCTGAACCAACCCAGTCTTGTAGCAACATTTTGCAATTTGAAGGTGCAAAACGCATACCGAATATGGCTACGCTGGCATTCAAGTTATCCAGAAATGCTTGCAACTTACCTGGATATATGTATAGACGGCCTTGAACTATGGCTTCAACCTACTGTGTACGCATGCTCCAGAATGTTATGAGAGCTCTGGGGCGATGGTCTTTGAGTTGGTCTCTGCCTGCCAATGCCGATAAATGCACGCGCATGTGGGACAGTCAGATGGTCTGCGTAATTGAGTACTTTGTGCACGGTAACTTTCTTCGCTCATTAACATGCAAAAAGATCTAGGTCTAATTGTGGCTTACAACCTGCAGGTGAGTAGCTACGTCAGCAAAGTCTATATCTACTTGGAGAATATAAGGATTTTGGATTTCTTCAAGGTGATGTAGACCTCTCGCGCGCTCCTGCGATTGGAATATGTTGACTCGGCATAATTTCTATGCGGAACTGCATAAACAGATGAATTGGAGCAGCTACGACGAAGCACCTCATCTAATGGCTTGGTTGCGTGGAATTAACTATGAAGGATGGCTGCAGCCCGGCAAACTGTTGACTTATAGGAGAATAGATATGACGTACACCAGGAGCATAAGCCGCGGAGACACTGGTTGCATTGTGTTCCTTATCAGATCATGTTATTCGAGAAGGTGTTCCCACGCTAGTGAACTGTGTACATTCTCTTTGCTACTCACTCAAATGAACTCAATCGTTAACTAGTCTACTTTGCAAACACTTCGAGTTTGGTGTTGGTTTTTAAACGAAGTTGACATGATAACGATATTGAAAAGGTGGCTTCATTTAGGTAATCTTTGTTGACTTTTTAGTTTCGCTATGACGGAATCCAAAGTAGGAACGATGAAACGCATTGGGAAAGGGACTTTGATTTATACGGCAGACAGTCCACTCAGCTGTCTGGCAGTGAATCCAAGAGCAGAGGTTCTCGCAGTTGCTGGACGGAACTTGTTCCAAGTCTTCTCAATTCACGAAGATAAACTTGTTTCCGTGAGTGGTCTATCAGTTTCTTACCGTTGGGTTTCTGTGTGATTCCAATGCCATTTTACGATGTGATCTGTTTGCTCATATGTTTGTGTCCTATTGATATTTCGTTATCCAACCGGTACGATTGATTGATGAAGTTGAATACTTGGCGGCAGGTTGTATTCGGTTCTAGGAAATTTCGCTGGTAAATGTTAGCATGTAATTAAATTTAAAAAGCGTGCCGTAGGCACGATAAACCGACAGAAAACGTGGAGCATTGCTGATACCGTTTTCACCCTCCCCCCGCCACTCAGAACATTCTGAAGTTGCCCGGACTGAAAAGCTTCGTTCGCGTCAATCTTCATTAACCGAGTACCCTATTTTCTCCAACGAGGTCCGTTACACTTATGAACCTCATGTATTTGTCGTTCTTTACTCCAAAATACCGATCTCTTTTTTTGTTAGTTTTAACCCTTGTAGTTTTTTTATTGCACACATTTCGTATGATAAACAGCAGTCAAGGTGAATCCCAGAATCGCGTAGACTTGATATTCGGTGATGAAAAACGGTAGTCTAAGGCCCGGGGCTTGGTATGGTGAACCACACAAGAGGTGGTGTCGAACTGGATGACATCATCATCATCATCATCATCATCGGGAGAAGCGAGACCTGTGATTTCGTCGCACTGCTACTAAGTCGACCTAGTTACGCTTGTGATACTCGTTATTTCTGCTGTGGCTCTGTCAAACGATTCATAATCTGTGGTCGGTTTTTTGGAAACCATGGGGCAATACAAGCCAGTGGTTAGCGCATCTGTACACCACTAAATGCGCATGAGTGGCCTAGCAGTAAAAGAAATAATAGTGTTCTTGCGATGGAATATCTTCTCGTGATTGAGCTCTATCCCGTTGTGCAAAACACCCATGTAGAGATTAAAAAACGACATTGGTGTTTTGGTATATGAGTACACTACTGAGTTAATGCACAGTTCCGTAATTTATAATTATCAAACTCTAACCCCATTGCTAAATCGATTCCAGTCTAGCAGATCTCACAGCCCGGGTTGCCATCTATGCATTTTCAAATTGAAAAAAAACACATCTTTTGTATTGTTTATGCTAATGCACTAACCTTAAAGTTTGCTTATTGAGTTAGCTTAACCATACCTTTAAGGTGTTGGCCATCTGTCTATAGTTCAGGTGTAAGAGTTTCGGTTGCCAACCTGAAGGTTTGCGGAGTTCTAGCCCCCGTCCGGGACAAACAGTCTGCAGTGCCGATGGGTATCGAACAAGAATAATCAGCTGTTCAGTACTCTTTCTAGACCATCGTCAACAAAATTCCCCTTGATGGTTTTCAAAAATGATAACTGTAGGCGTAGACAAATCTAAATAGTTCTAAATGTGCAACGCTACGCAGACTGACGTTTCTCTTCGGCACAACAGCTTAAGGTTCACACTATATAGAGCGGTTGATAACACATGAGAAAATGTGTTCGACGACTCTAGGATTCGTAGGGTTGATTAGCACTGTGAATGACGGTGGAAATAGTGCCATATACACAGACGCCTGGATTGTCGTTTTTCAGTCAGTTTCATCTTTGACAGTGAGATGATATTCCGTAATCTTTGACGGATAGTGTATACGCTGTAGCCATTACTGTTACTGCTACACTTTTTCTGCATAGTTGCCGTTGGTTCTCTAAGGCTGTATTCATCATTTGACTGGCGGGGATTCAGCCCGGTACCCATGCTTTCCTGCTATTGTAATAACTTTTGTAGACATAAAGCCTACATTTCAGTTAAAAAATAATCAATTTGGAGAGAGGGAGAAAATAAATTAAAAAAAGATTTTAATCTCAAATCTGTTAACAAAGTCTGTGAAAACCTGTTCTTTGTTAACTAGAATACGTGCTAATGAGAGTACTGTAGAGTTACGATACATGTTTATTCGAGAGGGAACACAGCGGTGTTGGGATCTAGTTGACAAATGGGAACAACAGAAAGTTAGGTCAGCGTGTAGCGGATGTGTGGAGTCGATATGAATCTTATGTGCCAACGTTTCACATGCATTCAAATGACGTTTGCACACAGATTAGTTTTCAACTCGTCCACAGTGGGATTGAAGGGAAACGGCTAAAGATGGTCAGTCCACGTCGAAGCATATTTTTGTTGGATTTACGTTGGATTGGACAGTGGATCTCGTCTGCCCATTCACGTGATTTACTCTGTCTTTTCGAAATTTTGGACCTCCTTCAGATTCAATCTCTGTTAGCCTACTCTTTGAACGGCTAACCAGGATGAGGTCGTTGATGCATGCTTCAGCTTCTCGGGACCGCGGGTCAGTTGTTTAGGTACTGGAGACTAAAACCATGGGGGCTTGTCCAAGGACACGATAGTTTCCCGGCAGCATACAAAGGACTGAAATAACATTTGGCGTCGACGTGACATTTAATTGAAGCTGGAAAGTTTCGTGTATGGTATGATGGTGCTATCAGTTCTGCTTTCCGTTTGCGAGACCGGAAAATATTCATCGTCCGGAGGTTTTCGACAATCTCTACTTGCGTAGTTTGGCCCAGGCATGAGGGCCCGAGCGAGTTAGTAACCTTGACGTAGGCCGTCGTGTTTCTGGAACTGTACTGAAGAGGAATTCATCATCCCATTGGAGTTTAACCACTTCTATTTGCGAGTATAACGCGCACCTATCAATTGTCTACTGCACCACGCTCTATCAGCAGTGGCCAATCCGGCCTACGGAAAATCACATGGTGATCAAAAGGCGATGCAGAGACAAAGCATGAAGAAATGCACAGAGCGATTGGATAGTTTAGGTGTCTTCCATCTTCTAGACTGGGTCCAAAATACTACAGTTGGTTGGTTATAGACAGTGTATTAAATATTGCGAACCGACATCAGTATCGTTCTTGTTTTCTTTCTTTATCAAACAACAATGTCAAAAGAGGTGTTCACGGCGTTACTGTGTGCTCTATTGGATTGTGTACCCTGTGGGTTGATCTGTCTTTCACTTTCCTCGAAACAGGTGTACTCCCCATCCATCTTTCGCAAACGTGCTTACTTTGTGTATATTGTGAGTTCGGGCAACGCTAAGTGCGGTTGACTTCACTGTATTTCGCTGCATAGTAGTGATGGTAATGCTAAATACTCCTACCAGGGATGCACCGTATCACGTGTTTTTCCCTTGTTCAGGCCAACTGTGGTTCTCACACTACACAGTAGATTGTTCCATATACTTATCACACTTGCACCCGCTTCTCGGTAGTATTCATCCTGATTCGCGGTTTTACTTCAATATTGGCTCGTGTGAACCAAATTTCTTCGTGTTTTTCTATCCTTTTCGAGTTCAAATTACCTGCTTGAAGAGATCTTGGTCATCTGTTCCTTGTCTGAAAATGTTTTATTTCCCCCCTTTTGGTTACAACTGTCTGCCCAACACTTAGTGTCTTTGGAAATAATGTGAAACCAGTTGTAGCACGGGATGTGGATATTGTTGTTGGTGTATTCTCCGAGCTGGAACTGTTGTTCACAGACGTTTCGTAGCCAGTCTCGGACAACATCATCAGTGCAACTTTGGGGAAGGCTTCCCCGAACAACAACACAGTATATTTGTCTGATTTTGAGGTTTTAATCAGGTTCAGTTTTCTGTTCTGTTCTTACAACCATGAACCATGCATTTTCGTGTGCCGGTTTTGGTTGCTGTCTTTTGGCTGCCCATTGGGATGAAGAATAGGAGAAGAAAGGAAATTTGAAAGTGGAGTCGAACAGAAAATGGAGACGTTCTGTGGTCTAGGGTTGCAAAGAGATTGAGAAGATGCACGAACGCCACTGGTTGCCACATCCAGTCATATCACTCAGTGTCTGACCATCGGTTACGATCATCCCGAGGTCCCCAGCCAGGGAACCTAACAGGACCTATGTGACCCAGTCTCCTGGTTAGGGTTTTCATACCCTCGTACCAGGTCTTAACTTGACCACTCTTGGTTTTTACACTCGGTGTCT